TCTCTCTCTCTCTCTCTCTCTCTCTCTCTCTCTCTCTCTCTGCAACTGCATTTTTTTTAAAAATGGAAACCTATATTTTTGACGACACAGGTCGATGCAGTTTCTTGCGCTGTACATAAAAGTACTTGCATACTTATGCCCCAAACTTGTTCGTTAGGAAGTTATTTCAACCTTGTATACAACAAGGTACATACAGGGTGGTGCATTTTAAACAGGTCACCTGAATAATTCGCTTGTTGAGCAGTTGCAAATTTTAAAGAATCTTTTACATATATATATATGCACTTGACTTTCTTAGGGACATAAACACCAGCAAGTCGGTGTCATATTTTCTTCTATGCAGTAAGATATGCCAACATTTGCCATGACAACCTTTCGTAGTTGCGAGAGCAGCTGAAAATTCGTTAATACATGTACGTTAGGATTATATATAAATTAAGAAAATATTCTTCGGGCCTAACAACACTGTATTTCTGACGTTTACTTCCCTAAGAAATTCAAGAGCATTGGCATTTTTTTTAAATAAGACAGAATAAGCCGTAGGCACACTCCGATTATTCTGTTAAACGCCAGTAATAAGTCGTGAATGTATCTTAATGGCGCGCTACACGTGCAAGGCATGCAGCAAATAATACACTAAATAAATATACAGTACACAATGATACTATTCAACGAGTTCGTTATAGTTATAACTTACGAGTAATCTTACGAAAAAGTGCGTGAAAACAGTGGCAAAAATGCGAACTAATTTGAAGGATCACGCCGCCATTACGGAACAATGGGCATCAGAGCCACTCGTAGTCTAGAAAGTTTCGCCCGTAACCCCGTTCGCGTTTACTTGCAACTGACACTTGAGAGAAGCCAGTAGCACCGCGTTGAATATGATAACCCAAGAAGAAGGGAAAGAAAGACCGATCTCACCGAGGTTTTCTAATATCGTGTGCTTTCAGGTGGTTTTCTCGGCGACATCGCCCTGCCGAATATCAAGTACGAGACAGAATGGCGACAGCAAAAGCTCAACAAGAGTTACCTCGAGGAGCTGGAGAAGTACCGGGACGAAGTCTTGAAAGAGGGTCTCCAGGTCGAAGAGGAGGGTCTCACAGGTAAATACTTTCCCCGCGGTCTCGCGACAAAGGGAAAAAGATAGAAAGAAAACGCGTTTTCGTCGGCGTGCTAGCGACAGGTGTCGTTTCAGAGATCCTTCAATTTAAAAATGAGCACGGCGGTAACGAGGCACATCAGGAGAACGAGGAGATCGCGGCTTCTCAAGAGAAATCCGAACCAATTATGGTGGACCGGAATCAATACAGCATGGACGGCGAGCTCGGTGGTGAATTCAGTTTTAACGCGAGGAACGACGCCGGGCCCGACGTCAGGGACGAGGGCTTCGAATTCAGGTAGACCAACTCGAAACTTTCAACCAGGAATAGGTAAAGTTTTATTCAAATAACGGATAACGAACGAAAACATCGCATCGATGGTACGTTTCACTTCGAAACGATAGTAAATTCGCTTCTTTGCATTTTTGATTAACGAGGATTCTGGGGTTCGAAAACAAGCCAGGTGTGTCATTGTCGTTGACTAACAAGGAATGGAAACGCACAGAATATTTTCCAGTATAAGATTGTCTGAAAAGTCTGTGCCGATTTTTGGTAGGTGATACAGGTCTGAATATATCAGAATGGTTGAGAACAAATAACACGCGTACATTCCTTAAAACGTGGAAAGGTTGTGGAATGAAATAGTATTTACATAATTCGATAAACTTATTAAAAATTGGCACGAACTTTCTGGTCAATCCAATACGTACAGGCTCGGGTGGAATTCGTAGTACACACGGCCAGGGTATGATTCTATGTGAGAAAATAAGACAAAAATTTAGTATGACGTGTTTCGTCCATGGCTTTGTTTTCGAGAACATCGATTATGAAATCTGTTCAACTATGTAAACGATTGAACACGATTTGGTTGATCGATACGTTTATTGGATGTGTAATATAGCGGAATCGGTGCACAGAACCCGATTTGCAACAAAAGTGATAGTTAATTTCTCAGAAATTGTTTCCGTGTTATGACAAGATATTTTAATGGAGAATAAGTCTAAGGAAGTATCATTGGCTAAGATTGGATTATCCACATTTTTCTACGAACATAAATGGCAGCGTTTAGACATTATGAAAAACTTCAAAATTTCGTGGATTTCGTTTATTAATAGGTGTAGAGCAATATACGTCCGGTTAGCCGACTATAATGGCGAACTAATCGAAAGAACACCAGAATGAAACTTGGCCACTTTGTAGAAAAAAAACTTCAAGGAATGCAACGATAATTTTCTCGGATTTTTAAAAACGTGACCTCGAAGTAGTATTTGCAAAATAAAAATTGATCTATAATTTTTAATATTGCAAAAATCAGATCTGCTCCGTACAAGAATATATTCGGGACGAATTTTTATTTGTTCAACGTGCCGTACAATTTCGATCAATATTTACACATAGATACGATAGACACACGTTTGAATTTAGATTTATCTGAAAGTCTTGTCTAAAAAAAAAAAAAAAAAAAAAAATAAATGAAAATTCAATCTTAATAATCACCTTACGTATCAAGTTGAAAAGTCGCCAGTGAACCGCTTCTTATCAATAATTAAAAGTCGTTTACCTTTTGCTCGTCGTGCGAAATTTGCATTTAGATACAAATTCTGCCCATCTCTGGTTTTATGCGAGAATTACGCGCGCGTACGCGTATGCCAGCGATGCGAGCATAAGAGATTTCACTCCTTGAAGAGATATTCCGCGTGGCGTGCCGCTTCGAGTGGCGAAATTCAAAAAGGAAACACCCGAGAAAGCAATTAAAATGGCAAAAATAACGCGGTTTTTCACCTCGTGGACGTAGGAAAGATTTTCTGAAGCGCGTCCCGCCGACTTCTAGGTCGTCGCGTTCGTATCCGTCTTTATCCGACTGCAAAGTAATTACTCGTTTCCGAATCGTGTGTCCCTTTTGTCAGATTTTCTAAAGGGCACAAAGATCGTTGAAAATTTGTTTACGACGCGTGAAGCTTTTCCATCGTGAAGTGTTGCACGTGGCGTGTTTCGAATTCTACAGGGTGTCCCAAAAGTCGGGGAGGAGCCGGAAACGGAGGGGTAGCTGAGACGATTCCGAGCAACAATTTCCTTTGCGAAAATGTCGGATGGGGCTTCGTTAAGGAGATATTAAGCGAAAACCCCGACCAATCGGAGCGCGCGTAGACCGTTGGAGCGGACGCGGTAGCGAAGGCTACGCGCTCCGATTGGTCGGGGTTTTCTCTTAATATCTCCTTAACGAAGCCCCATCCGACATTTTTGCAAAGGAAATTGTTGTTCGGAATCGTCTCGGCTACCCTCAATTTCCGGCTCCTCCCCGACTTTTCGGACACCCTGTATATTTCAATTTGAAAAGAATTCATTTTTTAATTATTCTCTCAGCGATCGGTTTATCATTCGTTATCGGAAGTATGACGTACGGAGATGTTAATTTTGTCGAATGCTTTATTCGTGTTCTTTTTTTTTCTATTACAAAGTTTTTTTTAAATTTGAGCTCAGGAAGCAACAATTTTATTTAGATTGGACATTTATATTTAGATTGGAGTCGACAACACAATCGACAAAAAAACGACATTCTGTTCGAAAGCAAAGTCATCAAATCACCCACACAGAGTCCAACGTGGATGAAACGAAATCGATGAACACTCCTTCAAGAACGTCCCAAGAGTCGAGCGCGACTACCACGACCACCGAGAACACCAATCAAATGAAATATGCGAATATAGAGAACGTAGAGGAAATGTTCACCGTTCAACCGGAGCGCACTACCCAAAACGTATCGAAACGGCGTCATCGTCGTCATCATCGCAGAAGGTACGAACGTTCCCTATTTCTTAAGCTTCAATCGCCAACTATGCGTAAACTTTACGTATTTAGCCGAGAAAGTGTGACTTGAATCAATTGATCTGTGGATATCTAAAGATTGATTTAACCCTTTGCACTCGAGGCCCTTTTTTTCTGGTATCTACCAGCAACTCGAGATGCTTTCTTAGCATTCTATTGCCACGAATGCTAAGATTATATCGACTTCGAAAATGAGATCTCTGTTTCGAGATTTGAGAATCACTTCGAGTTCCAAAGAAATTAAACCTAAAGAAAACCTTGCGATGACTGAGAGTCACCTCTCGAGTGCAAATGGTTAATATCTTAATAACTCGTCGTGTACAGATAACTTGATAATCATTTATTAATCGCTAGTCGCATAAATAAAAGAACAACTTTAATAACACCGATTATTACTAAAAAGTAGAGTAAGTGGCTAGAAACTCATTTCTTTTACAAAATCGATTGATTAAATTTCTGATTAAGTAATTGCATATACAATTGAACTAACCATATGTGTCCCTGGTTAAAACGAAAAACAAGAAATTTCGTAGAATGTGGGCATGTACATACAATATCGATAGCAGATACCAAGGACCAAAGTAAATAAACTTCACGTTTTACGAAATTAACTAGTACCCGGATTTAAAAGTAAATAAATGTGCAAGCAGTTTGGAGAACGTATCACGGTCGTGTTGCCACGAAGAAAACAAGAAATTCGATTCGCTTTGATTCCGTACGTGTAGTGCACTGGGAACAATTCCGCGGCGCAAAACGTATTTATCGAGAAAAGTTATTACCTCGATTCGAAAGGGTTTAGATGCTAGTAGAAATTTATGGTGCTTAGGATTCCTACCGGATATTAGTATTCGATGAGAGTATAAAGAACGATACGAAACATCAGAGAGGTACAAATTGATGTCTTACTACTCGATTGGGTTTCGCGTTCTCGTTTCACGCGACTACACCGACTGAATGTAAAACACGTAAATGAAACTGGGCTGTCTCTATCTTCCGTACGCGAAACTTCTTGCCAATATTCGTATGAGATTTTAAGAGAAGATCTTTCGAAAGTAACTGAAATACATTTATAAGAATTATTTAATCGACGAAAATTATTTTCTATAATTATTCAATATCCAGTTTTACTTAAGAACGTATAGGAGGTATAATCGGAGACAAGTATCTTTGCGATTACGACATTTGAATCAACAAATTTATAGTTATAAGCTTGTTTTTAACGTCAAGTTCCAAATTTATCACGAATCTTTTTGTTTTCACTTAATTTTAGGATGAAATTCTGAACTGAAAAGAACTTTTAGCTTCAATAATCATCGAAAAGTAAAAGGTCCTTACACTGTCGCTTCTACTAATACCTCAAAAGAAATTGATTTGGTTTCTTGTAGGAGAATGATCAAAGTATTCGTAAGAACTTCAGCTTCTCGATTCATCCGAAATTGCGCTCGATAGAGTGATTAAGCATTTTGCTGGGTTCGATAGTGTACTCCGTTCTTTTAACTTGCACCCTCTCCCCTATCGCCAACAATTTTCCACCGGTGGGGCTACTATGCCAATAACAATGGCCTTCATCGTAAAGCTGGAAAATGGGGACCGATACTGCCGGTCGGGCATTTTCAGCCCTTGAACTGCCAATAACCTGTCAGCATCGGCGCTAGTGTATCTGACCGGTCGCGGATGTGTCCGTGTACAGATTACGTGCGTCTCAGATAGGGGAACACCCAGGGGATGAAGTCTGGAACAGAGAAGGGGGCGCAGTATCGGAAAACTGTACCGGAGAAAATCCTTTTTTCGCCCGTACTTTAATAAAACTACATTTTTATACCAACTTTACGGACTGTTTTACAACGTACGGTTTTAGCCATGGAGTTACGATAAATGGCAGATCCCGAAGGCAGCACAACAGCGCGACGAAAAAGTAAACGGATCTGCGAGAGATAGTTTTATTCGTGATTTTCTACCGAAAAAGTGAATAAAATAAATGTCATACTTATATAGTAAAACGTGGCAACGTCGTGTGTTATGTTTTAACATTTAGTAGCAGGGACGAAAAAGATTATTTTAGATTATTTTATACGAATCAATCGATTAGAATTTATGTCGTATCATATAATATATATTACGTTAACAATTTCATTCTAAAATTAAGTGAAAACAAAAAGATTCGTGATTAATCAGGAACTCGACGTTAGAACAAGCTTAAACCATAAATTTGTTTACGATGCTTAGAACATATGGCATTTTAGTAACTAAAAGTCACTCTTAAGATGCTTGGAACATAAGGTGTTTTATTGAGTAAAAACTTCTCCACTGAGGTACACTTTTCTCGTTAGGCCGATATTAACAAAATTTTACACGCTTGTTTTTTAACAGTAGGACTTAATTCAGGCCGAGAATGTTTTTAATGTTTCAAATTCAAAGAAAGTTTCCGTCGCGCAAACTTCTCGATTTCTTTTTCAACTTTGAAAATTTTTTAAAAATTAACCAATTGAAATTTCAACAAAATTCTCGGTCCGTTTTTAGAGAGGTGATTTCAAGATCGCCTTTCGAAGCTATCAATTTTATTTCCATTTACTTAAATTGAATTATAACGTACGCGTAACATGTTCGATCTTGTTGAATTTCATTTTCTGTTTCCTGTTACGATATCTTTTGACGATACAAGTCTAATAGAAAACACTCGAGTGAACCTTTTCTAGCGAATCGTAAATAAATGGGTATTTTTATAAACCTAAATTTCCGATATCGTGACCCATTTTGTTACTTACGATTCTTCTATGCGTAAATGGTGTCTGACAAGTTAATACCTCGGTAACTGTTGGTTAAAAATTTCATTTCCCGCTTGTCCTGCGAATTTTCCTGGCGCCGTGCCCGGAAATCAGCGGGTTTGGCATAGTATTTCAGCGGGCGTCCTCCGGCACGTTGAAACAGGCTTACGAAAGCGTTTGTTTATGGCCTGTATCCGACACCGTGAAACACGATCGTACTGTGATTCTCCAATGAAGCTCCAGAGAATTCTGGAGAGGATCAAGTCGGATCGGATCCGATACCTTTGACGTGGTTAAACCTTGGATCTGCAGGAATTTCTACCTACGTTTTCACGTGACTCCGATCGAACGAGGTCGCCCTGAAAAGAAACGGGAAAGCCTAAATATATTGCGATATTTAACGTATTTAGAGAAGAACGTCTCTACTTTCGTTCGTTTCGATTCAGAGATACGGAGCTGGGTAGCTCTTTGATGTCTTTCCAACAATTTTTCTTCTATTATGCAAATAACTATTCGTGAATCCTTTCGAGTGGCGTCAATGGCGCAAGCTTTTCGAGTTTTTAGACAAGAACAAGAGAGTTGTTAGAGAGTTATTAAAGAGAGTTTTGTTAGATGTAATACAAAGAAATAGTTGAATTGCTTTGATAACACGAATACGTACTTTAATTGTGGACTCTGTATCATTTACAAAACGTCGAGTATAGATCAAAATCAATGTTACAATATCGTCACATTTACCTATTAAATATAATTCAAGAAACGTAAAAAACGATGCTTTCAAAATTTTTATTCTCGTATTTCTCCATCTGCGCAATCATTAATAATATTGGGTCAATTCGTAAATAACTTCCACTGCACTTCCACTTCCACTTTCGAGGAACAGCGTACAATTTTTAACCGACTTCGAAAAGGAGGAGGTTGCTCGATTCGACACGTATACTTTTTTTTTAACAAGCGAAGACAGCACGAGTGAACAAGTGGTGACCATTTAATCCAAGAACACCCTGTATATTAACGCCCCTTATCAAGACTCATAACGTTATAATAAAGTTCGAGGAACACTATTTACCTCATACAAGCATTATTCGACCCACTTACGTGGAAAATAAATGTTTAAGTGTAATCTCACGACGAGGATTAGACTGGACGAGCGGTCTGCGTCCAGACAGCGTCGGCCGAGGTTTAAACGCGTCGGTTTTGCTTAAGATAAAAGCGGAAAAGGAATAATTATTTCGCGATAGGAAGGCTCTCCGAGGGTTCGCATTTTTCCGCGAGATCTCCCAGCTGTAAATTGTTGTCGGGGGTTTAAGCATCGGGTAAAAACGTCGGGCGGGGCGCATTAATTTCACCGTGGGTCCAATCTAATCGCGGCTTAAACGTTTTTCATCGAAGAATCCGTGAAAGCGATCGTGCCACGGGGGTGACTTCGCCCTATCGATCTATCTCTCCCTTTTTACCGGTCGTTTCAACTTTCCTGGGAATGAAGTGGCAAAAAGATGAACAGAGAGGTTGGGGGGGTCGCGGTGGGTAGATGGCAAGAAAAATGCAAGAAGAAACGCTCCGAACGGAGAAAGATGGAGGAAGAGTGATTTATCGCGATCGGCCAGGGAGAATTTCGTATTCAGCGAATACGTCGGCGGATCGATAGTAGATCGGTTCCCGTAACCCATCATTTTCCACTGTCCTCCGTGACTATGGTTCTTCCGCTCGGTATCTTGCCATGCATCCCCATGGACCACTCTTTCAGCGGTGAGTTATCAGGGACACCGGGGTTATCGCGGTCGTTGTCTGTCACCTGGACAGTCAGATGGACGGCTGAAAGGAGAATTTAAGGCCCGTTTCAATGAATTCGATTAAAATGGAAGCGAGCGCGCGTCACTGCGTGCCGCTATAACGCGAACTCAATTCCCGCGTAAAACACGGAGACGTGATGGCCTGATTCGTCGCGCATTTCATTCCACGCTGTGTGGCGACACGAGTCACCGAACGTGTTGATAAAGAATTTAATAAATCAATGTATTTTATACTACACTGGGGAGCATGACTGTAGCACCGCATATATTTTTACATAATTCAGTCTGTCGAACGGAAATGGAAAAAAGATTAATTACACGAGCTGAAAGGATGTGACGAATAATGAGTTTTATTTTGATCTCTTCGAGGTTGCTCTCATCAATGAGAGTCGCCTCAAAGAATTTTTTTATT